AACTATAAGAATTACTAAAAGACTATATACTATAAGAGAGAGAAAATTAGTCAAAGATTATATTATATAAGAATTACTAAAGGATTGTGATTGTGATTACTAAAGGATATACTATAAGAAATATTAAAGTATTTTACATAATAATAATTAATCAAGAAGTATATTAAAAAGATTACATACTATAAGAATTACTAAAGAATTATATACTATAAGAATTATTAAAGCATTATATACTATAACAATTACTAAAGGATTATATACTATGAGAATTACTAAAAGATTATGTACTACAAAAATTACTGAAGGATTATACACTAAAAGAAATAGCATTATATATAATAATAAATAATTACTTTAAGGATTATACTAAAAGATTATATACTATAACAATGACTGAAAGATCATATACTATAAGAACGACAAATAAAGAACAATAAATGTGCCCAACAAATTAATTTCCTCGATCACCAGCAACCTAACATTTCCACCAACATCATCCGAAAACAATGTCTCCGGTGGAAAATACCTCGACTCGTGCAACCCTTCGTCTCGGCCGAATAACCTATTTTGAGGTCGATAAAAGGGAACACCCTCGCAATTGGAACGCGGGGGATTGCTATAATTACTCTAAGGGAACACTCCCCGGGCCGATTAGCAATTTCGGTCGAGTCCGTCCTCCGCGAGCCAACCAGAATTTGATATCGCGGTGACGGTAACGATCCCACCCTCTATCCCCGACTCTCCCTTTCCAGCGCCGGGTCTCTCGCCCCCCCGTTGAATCTCGCCGTTTCATTAACTCCTCGCCGGCGTTAACTTCTGTTTTATTGCGCGGGACCGCGCGGGAAAGAAGGGTGCGCGTTTAACTTCGCGGGCTTTAACTTCGCGCGTTTCTATCCGGCGCGCTCGTTCCGTCGCGGCGACGGGCTCCCGGAAACGCTCGAATAACCTTCGCCGGAATTATTATCGAGCTACCTGGAGAATCTACAAGCCCGAGGCCCGGGCTCGGGATGTCTTCGCCCCTTCTTCCCGACCGGATCGGCCGCGCCACCCCTTTCCCACCCCTCCCTCTTCCATCGTTCTATTTTCTTATCCTTTCTTCCTTTCGGGTGTTTTATTCGCCGACTCGGAGTCCTCGAGGAGCACGAGTTTCACGAAATACCGGCACGATGTTCGCCCGTGAACTCGTGCGTATAATTGAGAGGGGATCCCATCGGCCCCGCTCCGCCCCCTCGACCTCCTTGGCGACGTATTAGCTCGGCTAATGGGAAATCTTTCGGGTTCTTCGCTCCGGAACACCCCCCTTATCTTCGGCAGGTATGCACACTACTCGGTAAAATCACTGTTTTATGGGAGACACTCGATCGGTCGAGCACCCGTTCGCAGAGCACCCCGAGAGCTTTCGAGTTTGATTGACCGTGAGGAGTACAGGCTCGAGTAAACACAGGCCGAGCCGAATAAAGACGGATCGCCGGCGTATTATCTCGGATAATGGAAAATCTTCCCCGGCGGTGATCGCTGTTTTTCCGATGCGCTCGAATTTCTTCGACAGAGATCCTTCTTCGAGCTCGCCTCGGCCCGGCCCGGCCCGGCTCGCTGATTACGAGTGCTTGGTTTCTGTGATTGGCGGAGTGAATTGGACTCGGGAGATGCGAATTAGACGAATTATCTTGATACATCTCGGTACAGTGAATTCTACCTAGTGCGCGCACAAATTGTGCACAAAAGTGGACAATTTGGGGAGAGGAGGCGCGATTATTCGAGCCTCGCAGATTATTTTTAGAGTCGCCGATTGTTAACAATTATAAAAGCGTACCTTCTCTTTCTAAATTGTTCACTTTTGTTGCCAAGCTGAGCGTCGATTAGGGAAAATTTACTGTACGTTGAAAGTCACGATTTTTTAAGAATCTGGTCATGGCATATATGTTTAATTTAAAATTGTTTAAGCAGAGTTAGTTTTAGAACTACGGTTTTCGCGTTCACTGGAAGTGGATTGTCTGTGGATAGCTCAATTTGAAACAATTTTAGGAAATTAATCGTTGCAAATGTAACCGAAAAAAAATCAGACAAAGTGACGTTTCCTGTGCTGAGATTTTTATTGTGCAATCGACACATTTTTTCCCTACTGTCTATCCTTTTTGTATGTAAAAAGACACGAGTTTGTTATTTGTTTCGCCGTTCCAACTAGTTTTAATTTTTGGGAAAAAATTGTTCAGACAGTTTCTCCAATATTTAAAAGAAAAATCGAAGTCATTTCATCCAATTCTAAAATGGTTATTCCATGTTAAAAAAATGTTGGAACATCTTCGCGAGCAATATTCTCGTGGGTAATGTATTGCAACGTTTTCTATATTAATTTTTGCAAGGTATTGTATATAAATATTTTGACAAAATTTTCTCAATAAATCCCACAAATAAGATTTTAATACCAAGATAAAAGGTTCGCCTAGCGAATGCTGCTCTTTTCAAAAAATGTTGAAACATCTTCGCGAGCAATATTCTCGTGGGTAATATATTGCAACGTTTTCTATATCAATTTTTGCAAGTTATTGTATATAAATTTTGACAAAATATTCTCAATAAATCCCACATATAAGATTTTAATACCAAGATAAAAGGTTCACCAAGCGAATGCTGTTCTTTTCAAAAAATGTTGAAACATCTTCGCGAGCAATATTCTCGTGAGTAATATATTGCAACGTTTTCTATATCAATTTTTGCAAGGTATCGTATATAAATTTTGACAAAATTTTCTCAATAAATCCCACATATAAGATTTTAATATCAAGATAAAAGGTTCGCCAAGCGAATGCTGTACTTTTAAATCTTTTTATCTTCCTTTCGAAGAGACCGGACGGAAATTCCAACAAAGCAGAATTGCAAAGGAAAGTCCGTGCCAGTTTCGACGCTCGAACGAATAACTTCTGTGTAAACGATCATTCCGGAATAGTTTTTGCTGAATGGACTCACCTCGACGATGCTGATGCAGATCATCAGATAGGGCGGTCGTATCCGGAAGTTCGGCTTCCTGGGCGGCGGTGGGTGCCTGGGTGTTGGTCGGGGCGTGACCTCGTCATCCTCCGCCTTTTTATACGAGGACGTGACGATGATCGGCGATTCCGGGGAGTAAGGCGAGCCGGGGCCGGAGTACGTCGCGTCCGTGCAGTCCGACGAGATCGTCGAGAGTGTCGGAGAGTTCTCCAGGAGAGCTACTTTGACGTCCATCTTGGCCTACCTGCGATGGAAAACAGAAAAATATATATATATATATATACATTGAACAGTGTCCTCGTTAGTCCTTCGAGTGCTCGTTTCGAGATTGTAAAGTAATTTGTCGGGATTCAAGCGTCCTCGACGAATTTCTATTTGATTTTCTCATTTCTTTTCGTTTAACCAGCTAGCTGCGGTGCCGCCATTTCAGAGCGCGCATCTATATATGTGTATATGTGTCGCGAGAATCATGCGACGACGAGTATACTCGTCGAACACAGAGTAAGAGTCGCTGTTAAAACATTGGATCGAAAAGACGGCTTCATTTTATAAAATTAACAATTTTGTTACTAATATTTACTCACTCACTTGACATTAACATATATATTGGGAGTCCCAAAATTATAGTATTTCCGAGAAATGTGGGGTTCCTGAGATCATTTGAAGTAACTTTCTCCTTTACGAAATTGTTCTCCGAGGCATCGTTAACGAGTTATTAACGAAAAACACTGACCAATGAGACGCGAGCTCGGCTAGCGCGAGCCAACGAGCGCACGAAGCCCAGTTCCGTTCATTGGCTCGGCTGCCACGCGCCAGCTGATCTCGCCTCTCATTGGTCACTGTTTTTCGTGAATAACTCGTAAACGAAGGTGCGGATTGCATATTCGCTAAGGAAAAAGTTACTTCAAATGACCTCATGAATCCCCCAGTTCCCGGAAATACAATAATTTTAGGACAACAATATATTTACTCCGATTTTTAACGAGTTTTATTCTAACACCTGAGCTAAATAATAATTCTATCGAATAAATAATCTATCGAATAAACGTAGTCATAGCCTACAATAAAATTCTTGATATAATTAAACATAATCAATTGCCTCGCAGTTAAAAATAAAATGAATAGACTCATCGATCGATCGATTCATAAATGTACAATTGCAATCCGATTAACCGTAAAGTAAAACATTTATTAACCCGTGAAAATGGGGGGAAATTGTTTGACTCCGAGAACGTTACGTTCACATAACGATATTACGTAATTTATATATCTACATTTCACCGATCGTAAATTCGCAATGCTATAGCTGGCGCAAGTATTAATAAAATTTCGCAGAGATCGGCGACCCCGTCGACGCGCCGCGGCCCTCGGAGATCGAATTCTCGGCCGTCCAATTCCGCGCATAAACATATAAATCCGCGTAAACATCCGTTACCGACGAAATCACGCGGAAGAGCACGCAGGATCCTTGATTCATAGACCGTAACGCGATCAGCCGTTTCCTCCAGCGAGCGTCGCCGCGGATTACCGTAAAACGCTTCCCGGTGGCGGTCGCATGAAAAAGAGGAAAAACCCATAAAAAGCGGGATCTACGGGAGAAGCGAACGGGTGGGTTCGCGTGGTCGGGCTACGGCGGAAAAGAAGAAGGGAAACGAGCCACGGGAAGAAGGAAACGACGTTTGCGGGGGCGGAATATTAATTAAACGGCCCTCTTTAGCGACCGAAACGAACGGGCCGAAAAAGGAGGACGGCGACTCGCGCGGCGAGCAAAGGAGCGGAATCCATAATTACCGCGAAGAGGATCCGGCGGGCTGTTACGCACGTATGGCTCCCTAAACTCACTTTGGCCGCACTTTACTGCCCGCCGCGGCCCCGGGTAGACATTAATTTGCATGCGGTCGAAAGTACACGGGCCCCGTCGCGCGGAACACGGCCGTTCCACAGTTGCCGAACGAACCCGCGCCTTCAATAAATTCGAGGATCCTTGACAAAGCCGGGTCTCGCGAACGGACGAGGACGCGGCCCGAATCAGCACGCAGTCACGCGGATCGTTCTCCGTGCTCACGGAGCTTCCCTCTGTGAATTATTTCTGCACCGTTCTGCTTGTTGTCAACGAGCGGCGCGGCAAACTCACTTCAAATGCTGCCGACAGGGTTCTTGCTCCGCAGTTCGCTCGCGAGACCTCTCTTCTCTATGATCAGAAAGCTAATGCATATTTGTGCTTAGAAGTGCGCTCTCTTCGATGCGAACTTTCTGTTCTGCTTCGTGGCACGGCTGCTCGTTTTTACTGAAAAAAACTGGATACACCGGTGGCCGAGATGTGACAAATCGCAGTGATTTTTTACACTAGAACTACCAACGGGGGTCGAAAGAACTTGTTTCGCATTTCTTATACTCGTTTAATTTAATTTAATCTAATTTGATTCGATTCGATTCGATTCGATTCAATTCAGTTCAATTCAATTCAGTTCAGTTCAATTCAGTTCAATTCAATTCAGTTCAGTTCAGTTCAATTCAATTTAGTTCAGTTCGGTTCAATTCAATTCAGTTCAGTTCAATTCAGTTCAGTTCAGTTCAATTCAGTTCAGTTCAGTTCAATTCAATTCAATTCAATTCAATTCTCAATTTAATTTAATTCTCAATTCAATTCAATTCAGTTCAGTTCAATTCAGTCAATTCAATTCAGTTCAATTCGATTCAATTCAATTCAATTCAATTTAATTTTTAGTTCTAGCGTTAAACACATTCTCTGATTAACTGAATAAATTGACTGAATCTTGAAACATATCCTCATTTCTACATGTTATTCTATGAGAAGCAAAGAACGTTAAAGATGTCTTTGCTACGTGAAAGGTTCCTCCTGTTTAACCCTTTGATGTGCCATTTTCTTTCCAGTGCAATAATTTCTTCGAAGGAAAAGAAAGCCGATTCTCATCGCGCGCCTAAATTTACTCGAATGCTTAAATATCGATGACAAGAGATTAGAATTTTATTCCAATTTTCCAAAGGACAGAACAACTCGAATTTCATACCTCAACGATGATCGAGACGCCGATGCAGGTCAGAATTGCACTCTACGGAACGTAATTTTTCCGGTGCATTTGGAGATATAATCGTTCACGTCGCAGAATTGACATAATGATACGACGAACATCGATTACGATCGTTTCCATTTATTCGTTATTCGAGCAGCCGGGATTCATTGTCTCGTCGAGAGCCTCACTTTTAATGTCCAGAAGAAAACAATGGACTCTCCTCGAGGATTTCTTCGGCTCATTGATTATGCGAATTGCTATTCCATTCAAGGTAATAAGCTTCTTTCTGTATGGTACGCTGCCGACGTTAAGTATAGTTAATTCTGCCGAAGGAGAAGAGTGACCGGGGAACCTTCTCAACGAATCTTCTTCATTTTATAAATGTGTTTTCTGTTTAAAAAAATCATTCGAATATCGGCTGCGATAATATCCTCTGCTATCGCTTCAAAGGACTTCAATGATTAACACAGCGAAAGGATGTTCGATAAATATAAATTTTACTTTTTCTCTAATAAATGACGCCGACAAGCTAAACGATGATAACTGCGGATTTGATGCGCTTATGACAAAAATGAATGGCTGCAATTTGAAACACGATAAAGATTAATGAAAAAAAGAACATCGAAACGTTAGCTACAAGTCGCTAAAATTACTGCACGAAGAAAGGATTTTCAAACGTAGAAAATTTGTATTTTGCACAAAGATCCGCGGTTTATTGATCCTCCGAGTACAGTAATGTCTCTCTAATTGACGCCCAGATTGCGCACAAAAATGGACAATATGGGAAAAGGAGATACGATTCTTCGAGCCTTGCGGTTTATTTTTATAGTTATAAATTGTCCACGATTATAAAAACGAGCAGCAAAGCTCGGATAATCGTATCTCCTCTTCCCAAATTATACATTTCAGTGGACAATCTGAGCGTCAGTAAGGGAGACATTACTGTAAATGTCTTATTGCTACTTTTATAAACTTATATGAAACAGCTGTTTTTTGGGCTCCGTGAATCTAGCGTTACGATTATTCGTGTCGTAAAGATACACTTATGAGTTATTTACTCAATTTATATGTTACTTACGGCAAATGTTACAAAAACACTTGTTCAAAATCAGAATACAGTAATGTCTCCCTAACTGACGCTCAGATTGACCACAAAAATGGACAATATGGGAAAAGGAGATACGATTCTTCGAGCTTGCCGGTTTATTTTTATAGTTATAAATTGCCCACAATTATAAAAACGAGCAGCAAGGTTCGGATAATCCTATCTCCTCTTCCCAAATTATCCAATTTAGTGGACATTACTCTACCAGGATGTACGGTGCCGTGGTCATCTCCGACCCGCATCGATACTTCGAGCCGGCTTGCGACAGACACCGCTCGGAAGAGCCTGACGCCGAGTCAAAAATGACACCGTCACGGTATTAAGAGGGTTAATAAAATTTCACGGAGGTCGCAGTGTCGGAGCGGAGTGCCCCTTAATGGGCGCTCTTCCCTCGTTAGTCCCGCAAGTGTTTCGAACTCGATGAGAAACTTCTTTCGCCGGCCGAACCGTCCGGCGGCGGGCGACGGGCCGGCCTCGGTCGGCCCGCATCGCCGAAAGTTGGACGCCTGGCAGGAGCTGCAACGACGCGTCTGTATTTTTCGCATGCAAAGGGAGGCCCCAAAGGATCCTGTCGTTGGCTCGTTAGTCTCGGCGGCGAGCGTCGGCCAGTCTTTAATCCAAACAGACGGTCGTTGAACGCATTCATTTAGCCGCGCGGCCCGAAGTACAGGGAGGATGCAATTGCGGGTCCGCGCGCGGAGCGAACGACACCCAGAAACGGGATAGCCGCCGCCCGAGAGACAGACGGCTTGTCCTCGGGAGAAAAGAAGGAGAACGCGCGATATTCCGGAGCCAGAGACGACCGTGCGAGAGTGGAAGGGACACCGGAGAAGGAACTTTCGGCCCCGGGGTCAATCCTGCCGGCGCCCTTTGTCCGTTCCAGAGGCGGTCTTTGTTCGGCCCGTGTTTTCGGGCCACCATAGAATTTGCCTGTGAATTATTGGGGCTCGTCGAGTTCGGGGACGGTTCTCTCTCTCTCTCTCTCTCTCACTCTCTTGGTCGGGGTGCCGCCACGAAACCGAGGACACCAACGAAACCCGGCGCGATCTCGTTGCCTGCCCCCGTTGTCTCCTCGCCCCTCTGGTTCTCCCCTCGCGACGACTC